GTCTTCCCTGGGCAGCAGCATGCATGCGAAGAGGACAAAAAGGTGAATTTCAAAAAGACAAAATCAAACTTAGAAATAAACAAAATAAAATTGATTAAATAAAATTAATTAAACTAAATAAATTAGATAAATTAAGTTAAATAAATAAAATCTCACCTGCTGCAGCACTTGCTGCACTTGCGGCTCAAGTCTAGACACCACAAGCGCATGCAAACGAGCAATACCCTTTTCTGCAGCAGCGCCCACTGCGTCTGGGGGCCCCCCTTGGGGGCCCCCTTGGGGGCCCCCCGGGGGGGCCCCCGGGGGGCCCCCCAGGGGGGCCCCCGAGGGGCCCCTCGAGGGGCCCCTCGAGGGGGCCCTTGAGGGGTCCCACGGGGGACTCCAGCATGAGGCCAGGCTGGGGCTGGAGCTAAGAGAATGGAAGGGCCCCCCTCCAAAAGCTGCAGCAAACAGCAGCAGCAGCAGCAGCAGCAGCAGGTTTGTGGCTAGTTACGGCTCCGCAGGGGTTCTATCTGGGGCCTCAGCGTCAGCTAGCTAGCTAAAGTGCCAGCTAGCTAGCTAGCTGCCCTGCAAGCTAGCTAGCTGCCCTGTCAGCTAGCTAGAGAACAGGCCAATTAGCTAGCTAGCTATCCAGCTAGCCAGCTAGCTAGCTAGCTAGCTAGCTGGCCAGTTAGCCAGCTAGCCAGCTAGCCAGCTGGCCAGTTAGCTAGCCAACTAGCTAGCTAGCTAGCCAGCTAGCTAGTCTGTCAGCTGGCTAGAGGGCTAGACTGTTGGGTATTTGATTAGCTAGCTAGCTAGCCACCTGGCTAGCCAGCTAGCCACCAGCTAGCAACTAGCTAGCTGCTTACACCTGACGCGTGAAAGCGCGCCGTTGGCCCTGCTGCTGCTGCTGCTGCTGCTGCTGCTGCTGCCTGGGCCCCCAGTGGGTGCTGCTGTCTCTTGCAGCTCTTTACAAAGGTCCTTAACCACCAGCAGCAACTCCCCCAGCATTGCGAGACCCACTGAGGCCCGGGGGCCCCTGGGGGGCCCCCCTAGGGGGCCCCCCGGGGGGCCCCCCGGGGGACCCTCCGAGGGGCCCCTAGAGGGGCCCCCAGAGGGGCCCCTCAGGGGGGCCCCCAGCTCGCCGTCTGAAGAAGCTGTCTCCATCTATTCTGGGAGTCTGGGGGCCCCCGGGGGCCCCTGCTGCTGC